TTTTGCTAAAGTATGTTTAGTAATTGAAAAAACAACGGAAATATTCAGTTACTTTAAACCGGCATCAACAGCACATTCACAAAGTTCTGCAAGAACACTTGGTGCCAAAAATTGGTTGGTTATTGCACACTGTTTTGCTGTGCTAATAAATTCTTCGGCTGGTGGTAGATCCAAGGCACATCTGTAATCAATTGTTAACGTCTACAAAACTATAAGAAAGTTTTTTCAGTCTAAATATTTCATGCTTTATTACAAATATTATCACTGCATATAGACTAATACTGCTTAAACTGTTGATTAATCACTGTTAAGAAGTGCTGAATAACTATTGATAAAAATACTCTTTTCTTTGCATATATTTTTGCTAATAAAAAATTTTGTCAGTAATTCGTGTTGAATTCTTGAATATACTAAAACGTCAAAACTTTTACTAGATTTGCCTATCTTTTAACCTATATTTAGATTGCAAAAATATATTGAAAAAAAAAGTAATTCTTCGATAGCATACTCAATTATACAACAGTCTGCTTGTCAATCTTTCTCTTCTAAGATCTCATATGACAAATTCGACAGCCTTATTAAGTATCTTTAGGGTTCGCTTAGATTGAGATGAAAATTGCGATGTAGTGATCATTTTAACATTATGCTGACTAAGGCAATAAAAATTTTTTTCGAGCTTATCCTATTTTGCTTTTAAAATTTGACAGCTAACTTTATTGGTCGGGTGCAATTGTTGGTTAAACGATCTACACATTTCTGCACACATTTGGCATATTTGCGGCCAATGCCAAGGAACGGATATAATTCCTTATGAAGATCTATAAATTGTAAATTTTGATTATAACGAATATCGTTTACATTTTATTATAGTAATGTCATTTTTTGTGGTAACAGCATAAAAAGTAGTATAGCATTTTGAAGCAAAAGGTTTTTCATATCAAAACAATTAGAACAGTCTCAGAATGTAGTCATTTTGTATTATTGACAAAAAACGTTCTAACTACAGAAAATCACTGACAAATTTTGAAAAAATTTACTTGCACTTCTCATCATTTTTGTGGTCTCTGTAAGTATTGCAACCTCCATTGCTGCTCTGTTTCTCCTTGGTATCATATCTGGTACACCATCTGTGCATCTAAAAGAAAAAAAAAACACAAAAAAATAATATTATTGGTAGTAACTTCTTTTCAACAACAATTTTTTTTTTTGCAATTTTTGACGTTGTCTTTGTTATTGTCTTAAAACAACAACAAATTTATTTAATTTTTTCTACCAACTTATTGCTTAGAATACTTGTGATGCGCTAAGGTGGTTTGCTTTTCAGTCATTATTCAAAAATTGTTGGTGAAAGATAGTTTAATTTGTTATTACCACCAACTGTAAGCATTTTCTGAAGAAGAAACAAAATGTTATAAAAGCTAGAAGAAATAACAGTTCCTACAGTAAGAAGTAAAACAAATGATTCGTACCCATATGGGAAAGATTTTTCCAAACAGTTGATTGTATCTTCAATATGCGATTTCTGCCTATTCCCACATTCTTTCAACTTCTCAAAATCAGCGCCTGTCTTTACCACATGCTCCTGTAATAGTCAAGCACTTTACACCATTATTCGTAACAACTACTTTAGTAGATGAATTAAGTAAAATTTCGAGAAAAAAAAAAGAAACTCTTAGCTATATATCTTAAGAATTATATCTGTATCAAAACTTTTTAAAAATTGCTTTTATTTTACCTGACATTGATTGCTGCATGGTTCCAGGGCGTCAAGTACCGCAGTTTTGCACTTCTGATACTCTTCGCATGTGCACTGCCTGACCATTTTAGATCCAGACACGCAATCTTTAGTTAGAGCTAAGAGCAAAGTGATAGTCCACAGAAGCAGCATTGGAGATCTGTAATGCAGAGGTATTTTGTGTAACTGAAAGATGTTATTTCCCTTTTTTTGTAGCTTTGAGAAGTAAAAAGTCTGTCAGGTTTTGTCACTAACAAAATAAGCGTTACCAATTAGATAATTTAAACGTATCTCTTTCAAACAAAAACTGTTGCATAAAATTACAAGCATTTTTCTGTCATAAAAAGCTATAAACAGTCAGCAGTAACATTTAAACTGTTAACTGATTAACCAAATCGACTACATTAAATTTGTTGAAACAGAATACGATTTTGAAAGTTCGAATCTTCTGAACTGTTCATTACAAGCCATATTTAGTTCTTATCGTCTTATTATCCGTTCAAAATTTTAACAATTTTGAAAAAAACAAAAAACAGCTAATAGCAAAGCATAAATTAAACAAAATATTGACAACACTGTAAAATTGAACACGAATTTTGATTTATTCAAACTTTTATACTGTTTTTATAACATTATTCAACAACACTGTTTACAGCAATTACGGACTTGTTTTTTTCAGCTGTTTTAAGACCGATAAACAACATAGTTAAATTTGGAAACTAATGATTTAATTAACCTTTCTTTTTGCTGCTTTAACATAGAATAGTCAGCACAGAGACGGTTGGTAAACATTACCACAGTCATCACTGTATGGTCGAAGCAGTTGTAAAAACAACATTAGAATTTTCCAGCTTTTAAAAAAAAAAAAACTATTTTACGATAGCATAATCATTGACCATTTCAGGATTTAGATATTATTTGCAAATGTATTGTCATCTTTGATTTGCATGTAAAAATCATGAAACAGTAACCAATATTGATAGCAATTTTTTGCTTTTTTTTTTTTT